ATAGATAGATAGATAGATAGATAGATAGATAGATAGATAGATAGATACTGTAAGTAAGTAAGTAAATTGTCCTGAAATGTAAGAGTAGCCATTCTCAGAGAGCAGTATTGTAAAAGGACTCAGTCCAAGCAAGCTCTGCCATTGCCAGAAACCTACCAAGTCTGGTCACAGAAAGTTGTGTAAGGCAACTACACAACTGCACATCTACAAGGCACACTCAGCACTCTGGGCTTGCTAGGCAGCATCCACAGAAAATGACTTTGAGGGCTCTAGAACAGAGATCGCCAACCTTTTGGACCTCAGGGACCACCAAACTCATAATTTTAAATCCTGCGGACCACTAATATGAATTTTAACTGACGGTGGCTTGCTGACATTGGTGGGAAAGTCGGTCCCATATTCCAGAGCTGCAGTAGTCATGGGACTGGCCCTTTGGTCATCCTGGAGCAGCTGCTCCTCCACCCAGGTACACTGGCCTGCCATGGACTGGAGAAGCTGTTCCGGGATGACCAAAGGGTTGATTCTGTGACTACTGCAGCTCTGGAATATGGGACTGACTTTCCCACCATCAGCAAGCTACCCCAGGGCGGATTTCCCTTCCCCACCATTGGTCTTACCTTCCAGTTCCAGCTCATGTAGCTCTACTCAAGGCAAGGTTTGCACTCAGCTGAAGGGTGGGAGCCAGTGGGTAGACGGGCCATGTAGGTGGCACAGCCTTGTGTTCCCATTCAGCCTGGATTAATTACTTTGGGGGAGTGCTTTGGGTGGGGGGACATTTCTCTGCGGACCACCAAAATTTTCTCACGGACCACCAGTGGTCCCTGGCCCACTGGCTGGCAACCACTTTTCTAGAAGATGCCTTCGCTAATTAATGGAAAATAGATATTGCATGTTTCTAAAACATATCCTTGTAAGAAAGCATATGCTTTTTAAAATCAAAATGTGTGTGTGTGTGTGTGTGCGCGCGTGTGTAGCAAGTTTTCCACAGCAAAACAATCTACTTTACAAAGCACCAACTGTGCATGGTTAACACCAATCTGTAACTTCTGCAGCCTTGTAATTGTAGAGTACTTAAATCTTTCCACAGATAAACCTCTTTCAATCTGATTCCTGATGACCACAGTACTGCCTGGACATATCCAAATTGTTTTCAGGATCATTGAAAACAATTATTTACACTCTATTATCCTACTCATGAATACATTCATGGAAGAAAAATAGGGTCATCCCTACAACAGGAAAGTGTTAGAGAAGGCTGGATTAATAAAATCCACCAGGGCAAGGTGGACGTCTCATATTATACTTCAGCTTTAATGAGTTTCATTGATGATGGATGTCCATAATATTTAAACCGAGATTTTAAGATCTATAAATCACTGCAGACGGCTTAGCACACTATATAAATTGAAGTACTGTACTGTGGTTAATCCATGCAAGAGGTTTGGCCACATCCTACCTGAATCTTCTGAAATCGAGATGGAAAATAAAGGGCCTTTTAAGAACCACGGAACATCTTCTTCTTTGTTGGCTGAAAAAGCAGAGGAGGGTGGATAATCTACCTGAAAGGAACAGCAAGGTCTTCCTATTTTTTGCTCTGAATAATCTTAGGGTACTACATTTCTCTTACTCAGATCTCCTTCCCCATGACTCTGAATAAAAAAACTATACAGATAGACCTCAGCTTATAATCACAATTAATATCTAATAATTACAATTAATATCAATTGCTAAGTGAATCACTACAGTTGTTAATCATGTGCTCTTTAAGTGAATCCAGCTTTCCTCATTGACTTTGCTTGTCAGGGCCAGCTGGGAAGGTTGCAAATCGTGGTCACATAACTCTGGGATATTGCAACTGTTGTAAATGCATGCCAGTTGCAAAGCACCCAAATTGTTAAGACATGACTATGGAGATGCTACAATGGTCATATGTGCAAGGGCTGATCATGTCACTTTTTTCAGTGCTGAAAACAGTCGCTAAATGACCGGTTGTAAGTCAAAGATTACCTTGTATGCATGTCTGTGGAGATTCTCAGTCATCCAGGTCCTGGTTGTCCCAAAGGTGTTTTTTCCAGGAGGCAACTGGACTTCCTTCTTTTTTCTTTGAAGATGTTCCACTTCTCATACAAGAAGCTTCTTTAGCTCTAACTGGATGTTGGGGAATGGAAGGATTTGTATTTCTTGCAGACAGCTGGTCATTTGCATAGTTTTAGAGAGTCCTTGAGGACACTTGGAAGTTTATCTGTGTCCTCAGGGTCTTCAATAGGGAAGGGAAACAGGACAGGAAATATCCTGCAGCCAAGAAGTCTCCACAACCATTTTGCATTACTCAGCTGACCTCAGCTGTAACATGCAAATGACCAGCTCTCTGCAAGAATATACGTAAATCCTTCCATTCCCCACAATCCAGTCAGAGCTGAAGAAGCTTCTTGGATGAGAAGCAAAATGTTTTCAAAGAAAAAAGAAAGTCCAGTTGCTCCTGGAAAAGTATCTTTGGGACACCTTGTATGGATATTCTCTGATCTGAGACTTACAGCAGATATTTCTTGGATTGCAAAAATAGGAAATATTCATCAAAATATTGTTTTTATTTCCAAAAGAACAATGATTTCATGGCAGTGTAATCAATGTTCTGTGGGGTTTTCATTGATTTTTAAAGCCCAATCTTCTACACCCCCAAATCCACATTCAAAGAGGATACCTAGAAACTGCAAAATTTTGCTAGAGGAGCGGACTGTCCTGATGACCGTTTTCCAAGTAGGCAAAATTCATACAATTCATTCTACATCCACCCTATTAAGGTACAGATGCCTTTCCTGTGTGAATGTCATCTGGCTATAAAAATCTACTAGTGATAATCAAGGGAGATCTCCAAAAAGGAGAGTCAGAATGAAGAGAGGTTCCACACCATGGTTCTGTGAGGGTTTTAAAGAAGAAAGAACAGATGATAAGGTCTTTTCTCTTATGGAGGGGAGACAAAATAGAGAGAAAGTGTTAAGATAAAACAGAAGTTGCCAATCATTAAGATGCCACTACAAAGTACAAATGAGAGAAGGCTCAAAGTGAACAGAGAGTTAGATATTATCTCATGCAGAATTAATGATTTCACATAATAGAGAATTGGTGTGGTCCAGATATTTGGGGTTATAATTCTCACTAACCTCAAATAACACAGTTAGTAGAAGACAGGGATTAGGAAAATCTTGGTTGACCAGAAAGGCAGTTACAGAGAAGAATTTGAAATATTTTTGTCAGATTGAAGACTGTTCTTTCAAGACAATAACTCTGAGTAACAAATTTTGAATCTTAAACCATGTAAGAGACTTCTAATAAGATTACAGTTTACCAGAATAGGAGTCTGAGGTCCCAAACATCTCTCGGAAAACATCCCAAGGGCTGCGGAAACTGAATCTCAATTCGTCTTCAGGAACTGAAGGGAAAATAATATTATATGCAACTTATCACTAATATCCTGAATTCCTCTCAGTGTGGAATTTCTACAAGCAAAAATGGGATACAGTAATTCCCAGAGAATAGCTATATAATTAAGATACATGGATCTCATGTTAAAGTCCCATGAAATTCCCACCTTTAGCAATGGAGAGCCATAAGAAAATCAATAAGAAAAAATATTTTCTTTTCCTAGACATACAATCCAATGGTGTTCCACTCTCCACTTGACCATAAAACTCATCAGCCTCCAGTTCTGCATCAACAACTGGAGCATATTAAGGTTTGTCCACAAAGTACAATTGCTACTATTTGGTCACTGACCAAATACACTGACCCAAGTACAATGTTTTCTATATCCTTCTCACTTACAAAAACAACTTTCTTTTTTATTTTTGCCTTCTCATTAATAAATAGCATAGTCTTCTGTGAGAGTCCAACTCCATTCCATTTCAGTTCATTGACATCTAAGATATAAAAGTGAAGTCAATCCATTTCTTCTACTATGTTGAACTTGCCATGTTTATGCTTCTTATGTTCCATGTATCCATTGTAATTCTGCCTTTACACGGCAATATCAGCAATTAGACACCCTGAAGACTATTATAAACACCATTAATACTCTGAAAGTTCCTCAGCTCTTCCTCAATATCATGTTTAAGTGTAATCTAACTCAAGGATCCCATAATCCAAGTACTGTACTATCAATTGCTTCATCTTATCTGTCCATATAGATTTCTTAGAAAAATATAGGAATGCTTTTCCATTGTCATCTTCTGTGCGGTATGAAATGATGCCTTTGCCAATATCACAAAAATGATCTTCTGCCTCTTAGCATCTTCCCAAATAACTGTGGCCAAATATAACTGCTTAGAGCCCTCTCATTTGTTTCCCATTGGTCATTCTTTTCTTTTAATTTCCTGGCAAGGGCAGGAATAACAGAATAATTACATAATATTTGTAACTGGTAGCACTGGAGGTACTCTACATTGAAACATTCATAAAATATGCATTGACAAATAAACATTACAATATCTACAATGTTGTAATTATTACAATTCAAACAGATGTTTATATTTATGTCCTCCGGGTATCACCTCAAACTCGCTTCATAGGAAGGAAAAGAGGCATGGATAATGTTTTTGGGCCTTTTTCTGGGTACAAGTTTGATTTGGGGAGACGAATAAGTTTTGGAAGGTGCATGAGTTAGATAGTAGAAAAGCTTTTCCTCACCTGTTGTGAGTCCATCCCCATAGCAGTCATAACGTTCCCTCTTGGTCTCTAAAAAGGAAAGTCATGTACTTGGTTACCTCCCACGTAAATTACTATTCTGTGTTGGTCCACAAAATTGCTGACTTAGGACTCATCCACACACCTGCATTGATGTGAGTTGCTCCTCTGATATATATTCAATGCTGATTTCAATGCAGTAATAGTTATATAATATAACTGAAACTCATGAACACTCTATTATTTAGAAGGCTTAATGTATTGAAAATAAAAAGAGGGGAAATTCTATCAGTAATAACTGCAGTTTAGGATGTCAGTACTTTATTATAAAAAAAAGATTACGTAAGTTTTCATCTGAAGTTAAGTATAATATAAAAAAGAAGCACTAATGTCATGCACATTAAAATATTGATTATATAACCTGGGAGAGAGAGGGAGGGGGAGAGAGATTGGGCAAACAGAGCCAGGAAGTTTCTTACTATCTGACAGCACTTCATAAGCTTCTGTAACTTCTTTGAACTTCTGTTCAGCATATTTCTTCCTCTCTGGGTTTTTATCTGGGTGCCACTGCAGGGCTTTTTTCCTGTACCTACAAAAGGCAAAATGAAGATAATATTAGAAATCCATAACTCAATAGCCAATAGTAAACCAGCATCCCTAAAGAAGCTATTAGATTTAGGGAGAATACTCTTTCTCAGAAGGTAGGACAGACTAAAATTACTGGAGTCCATTTCCCAGATTGTTGGGAGCTATATGCTGACTCAGTAAACTGCTTAGAAAGGGCTGTTAAGCACTATATAAGTCTAAGTGCTGATGCTATGAAGCCTCAATTATAAAAACTCCAAATAAATACTTATTTAAATGGATATCTATTTAGGTAGATATAATCACTAATAATTTGACATCCTTTATTCATTAATTACCAGAATAAAAATCGTAAATTGTCAGTGCATGGTTTTTGTTTTTTTTAAAAAAAGAGATTTGGGATCTTTTTTTTTGTAACTTTGAAACTTGGTTTACATTCCAGAATAAAACTCCTTAGAGAGAAGAATACTCAAAGAAAAGACTTACGCTTTTTTAATATCATTGTCAGAAGCATCCCGAGGAATATCTAAAAGCTTATAATAGTCTGGCATGGCAGCCATTGGTCTGTTCTGTGCAGAAACAGATAGCAGAGACGTGGAAGGAAACTTGCAGCCTCAAGGGGAACAGTGTTTCTGAGCTGCTTCTGGGGCTGATCATGGCCGCACGCTTGGCTGTACAGCAGAAGGTGGGTGCTGTGGAAACAGATCCTGCAGACGAAGAAATAGAATAATGTGCCATAAAAAATGGCCAACCACAATCCCATCATCCAGTCCAAGGAACTCGCTAAAAGAAGGCATGGTTAGCTGACCAAAAATAAACTTAAATTGTTCAGAAATTTGGCTTGGAAAATGCCAAACATTACACCTTTTTCCTTCCACTAAAAAGTTTACTTGTTTATAACTAAGATGATGAGTTGGTCATGCCTATGTTACCTCAGAAGATCCTCTTCATAGCATCTCCAGTTTCAATGACTCCTGCGCATGAATATGTTCTTGTCATGTCCTACTCCAGCTAAAATTTGCCATGCATGTGTAGTTATAGGTTTAATTAAATAATTATCTTGCATAAAGGGAGCAATGACATTTCAGCTGTTTTTTCCTCTGTTCAATATTGCTATTATGTGCAATGTTCTAGAAAACAAATGGGGCCATGGGGCTCCTCACTTACGACAAATATTCATTGACTACCATTTTGAACAATTAATTAAGTCTAAGGTCCCATGTGATTTTATAGCATAGACTTTAATTTTAACCATCTAATTTTAGACAGCTGTGGTGGCACAGTGGTTAGAATGCAGTATTGCAGGCTAATTCTACTGACTGCCAGAAGTTTGATCCTGACCAACTCAAGGTTGACCTAGCCTTTCATCCTTCAGAGGTCGGTAAAATTAGGACCAGATTGTTGGGGCAATATGCTGACTCTATAAACTCCTTAGAGAGGGTTGTAAAGCACTGTGAAGTGCTATATAAGTCTAAGTGCTATTGTTATTGCTATTGCTGCCTGCAGTGATTAGAAATTGTGTTAATCTTTTCTGCATTCTTGAGTTCCAAGTTGTCATTTATGGTTGATCCCATTAAATTCTGACTTCTTGCCAATAGTGATTTAGGCAGATTTCTGATTGACTACTTGGTTATTACTCTACTCCATGAACTAACCACAGTCCTTGGAGAGAGAGGTGCATGGGGAAGTGGTAAACCCCTACTGTCAATATATCTGGGCTTACAAAAGCCATTTGTTGAGTCAGTGCCATCACTCTTATTTCCTAAAGTTTTAATTAAGTATCTGGAAGATCAGAGAGTTATTTTGTAAGAAATCAACTCAGTGAAACCTAAATTTGGATAAACAGATGAGTGCCAGTGAGGATCTAGGAATATTTTGCTTAAATAAAAACTGGGACACTAAAGGACTCCTGGTGACATGTTGTTTTCTTGGGAGCACTGGAATTTGCCTTCCATTTGAGCAACTAAAAGAAGGCTCTCCTAAACAATGATTATAACGTTGGTTCAGGGGTGGGATTCAAATTTTTTAACAACTGGTTCTGTGGGTATGGCTTAGTGGTCATGTGACTGGCTGGGTGTGGCCAACTCAACATCACTCACATTGAGGCACGCATCTCCTCCCCTGGCCTCTTATGACTGTGGAGATGCTGCAACAGTCGTAAGTGTGAAAAATGGTCATAAGTCACTTTTTTCAGTGCCATTGTAACTTTGAATGGTCACTCCACACAAGCAAAGTACCAGCAAAGGAGGGGGGGAAAACTCCAGGGAAGTTCCTGAGATAGAAAGTCTAGTCCTGCCAAGAATGTAATAAGGGTTAATGGAGAGGCAGTTTCTGTAAGCAATGCCAGAATGTTTCCTTCCTGCCTTCCTTACAGGATTAGGCCAGTAATTTCTTCTAACAACTGGTTCTCCAAACTGCTTAGAATGTTAACAACCGGTTCTACCGAATAGGTGCGAACCTGTAGAATCGCACCTCTGCGTTGGTTTATCAAAACATTGTCTCAGCCTTACTTCCTGTTTTCAAGAAAGGCCATTATTTTTTTCTTAACTCTGTGAACCCAAGTTATCTTCCTCCTTAAAACAACCTTCCTGGACCTAGTATCTTCCAGAGGCATTCAATTTCCATCTTCTATTATTTTCAATCAGCAGGGAGACTTTGCTGATTAGATTTAAGAGAACTGAAGTCTAACACATCTAGGAACCAGAGTGAGAGAAAAAACCCCTACCCTAGGTAATATTCCAAAATATTCTGCAGAGTTTGTTTCTTTATTGCCATGTGTCCCCTTACCTTGGCTCATCCAGAGATTGCCTGTATGTTCTTGGTTCCACCTGTTGGCTGGCTGGGCATTTGAAGATACCAGCACCCCAAAGCTGATCTTTCCCCTACTATGTAACAGTTTCATAGCCAATGGAAAGTTTGGGGTCATTATGACATCAGAACCTAAGTTTTGCTTAAAGATCTGGAAAAAAGTATCATATAAAAGACAATATTTGGGAATTTGTAAGTTAATATTTTCTGTATAGTCAACCTTTGCTTTTATTCTTGAACTACTTTGCTACTTCAATCCAAATTGATGGTGTGAGCCTTTCCAATAATCATTTTGTCATGTCCTTTCCACCAGATATCCCTGTTTATTGCACAATATCAACCACAAATCAATATGCAATTGTAGAGTGTTGTTATGTTGGAAAATTTTGCTTCAAGATTATATAATGTTTAAATTCTGTCCTGCTCTTGCTTTAGAGTCAAAATGGAATGTTCATTCCAGCATCCTTCTCCTGCACTTACAGGACTTCGGTTTCTATGTCACTCCATCTCCCAGCATGTTTCATTCACTTACTTACACACACACACACACACACACACACAGAGAGAGAGAGAGAGAGAGAGAGAGAGAGGGAGAGAACACATTACAGCAGTTGCTCTATTTGTACACGGTCAAAAAAGGACTTTTGTGATTTCTGTGTATTTGATAATAATTTCAAAACTCACCCAATCAGCAAGCATGCTTTTGCAAATGTCCTAACAAATGCACATAAATATATGCAGACAAACATCTGGATTATATGTATGCTTTGGGGGGAAAATGTGTCGTCTTCGAGGAAGGAAAGGAGAGGGCTTGCTGTTTAAGTACTGAAAGCTGGAGAGTGGAAGGAGTGCATTTAGTGACTGAAGGTCTGATACGATTGGAATATTTGTGCTGAACTAATGATAGTGTAAGTACTAGACCACATTGTACTGAAATGCATCTTCAAATTGCTAAGGATAAGGATAAGGACAACACAAAGGAAATGTAAGTTGGAATTAAAGTATGCCAGGAATTATATGTGCATGGAGCAGATTGTAGCATGGCAACCAATTGTTAAATAACAAGTGAGGTAAAAATAATTGAAAAGCAACTCTATAAAATGATTAAATTTTTATTGAGAAGGGACTCACCAAGTAGTAAAGCAACAGAGAAATTAAATATTCATACTGTATTATTAATATTCAGTGTTAATATTCATCACCTTCCTCTTCTTCTCCTTCTCCTTCAATGCTATCTGTGCCCACCTCCTCATAATCCTTCTCCAGGGCAGCCATGTCTTCCCGAGCCTCAGAGAATTCCCCTTCTTCCATCCCTTCCCCAACATACCAGTGCACAAAGGCCCTCTTGGCATACATTAGATCAAACTTGTGGTCTAGGCGGGCCCAGGCCTCAGCAATGGCTGTGGTGTTGCTCAGCATGCACACTGCCCGCTGAACCTTGGCTAGGTCTCCCCCGGGAACCACAGTGGGAGGCTGGTAGTTGATGCCCACTTTAAAGCCTGTAGGACACCAGTCTACAAACTGGATTGTTCTCTTTGTTTTAATGGTGGCAATGGCAGCATTGACATCCTTAGGTACCACATCGCCTCGATACAAAAGGCAGCAGGCCATGTACTTGCCGTGGCGGGGATCACACTTCACCATCTGGTTAGCAGGCTCAAAGCAAGCATTGGTGATCTCAGCCACGGAAAGCTGCTCGTGGTAAGCTTTCTCCGCAGAGATGACCGGAGCATAGGTAGCCAGAGGGAAATGGATACGAGGGTAGGGCACTAGATTGGTCTGGAACTCTGTCAGGTCTACATTCAGAGCCCCATCAAAGCGCAGCGAGGCAGTGATGGAGGACACAATCTGGCCGATCAGCCTATTCAGATTTGTGTAAGTTGGGCGTTCAATGTCCAGGTTTCTACGGCAGATATCATAGATGGCTTCGTTGTCTACCATAAAAGCACAGTCTGAGTGCTCAAGGGTGGTATGCGTGGTGAGGATTGAATTGTAGGGTTCCACCACAGCCGTTGATATTTGAGGTGCTGGGTAAATGGAAAACTCCAGCTTGGACTTCTTGCCATAATCCACAGAGAGCCTTTCCATCAACAAAGAAGTAAAACCTGATCCAGTGCCTCCTCCAAAACTGTGGAAGATGAGAAATCCCTGCAATCCTGTGCATTGGTCTGCCTGGAGAAATGAAAACAAACAACAAACAAATCAGAACAGTAAATTGGGTTTAGGAAATTAGGTGGAGTGATCTGAAGCATAGTCATGTATAATCGCCACTCCTGTAAATTAACCAGGACTCCTTTTATATTCTTAAGGACAAATCCAACCCAGTCCTACCAACAGCTTTCCTTATTCAATTACCAGCTTTCGGATCCTGTCCAACACCAAATCAATTATTTCTTTGCCGATAGTGTAGTGACCACGAGCATAGTTATTGGCAGCATCTTCCTTTCCAGTGATCAGCTGTTCTGGGTGGAAGAGTTGACGGTATGTGCCAGTCCGAACCTCATCTAGAATTCAAGGTACAGAATAGTCCCATTTAAATTCACTCTCTGTCACTCTTCTTGTGTTCTGACATTTGTACACTTTCGTTTGTTTATTTGTAATATATTTAGCTGCTTTCCTTGTGAGATCAAGGCTTGCTAAGTATTATGGTTGCTAGGGGTATAGAACTGGCGCAGTTTTGTGAAACTTTTTAGAAGACACAGAGTTCTTAACTATCCAATAAATTGCTGTCATTGAACAGAGATTTGGGGGC